GGGGGGGGGGTCAAGTCAAAAGTGGACAAAAGTGGACAAAGGGGGAGGGGGGGGGGTAAAAAATAGCACAAAATTGGTGGACGTCTTTTATGGATGGCCCCCAAGCACCAAACGCACCTGTGATATTTTTTTTATTTTAAAGATCTTGTTGAGAATTGACTCGCGTTTGTGAATGAGTGTTTGGTGCTGAGAGTAATTATGTAGGTTTCGCTATATGCTTTGTTTTTTGTGACTTATTTGGGTATTTTAAATGACGTTGTTAATGTTGTGAAGGTCTTTGATAGCAGCAGGAATGGATTAGCAGTGATGGAGCATTTGTAATGCAGTTTTTTTAAAAATTTAATAAGGAGACATTTGACATGAATCAATAGGTAGTTAAATAACTAAATTACCCCTAGCCCTAGGCAACGAAGCTGTTGAACTGATAATTTCCGGGTTTATAACAAATCTCTTTTAGCGCAGTTAATGGGAATTTTATTTCGTGAAAACAGTGTCATCATATTTCCTGTTTATCCCACTTGAACAACTGGAACACTGATTTTGGTAGGGCTAAAATTTTAAGAAAAAAAAATGTTTTTTTATCGGCAAAGAGTCTTATGTACCACGATTCATTTCCACAGATTGGCGGGAAGTGGGTAAATTAGCTGTCCAAAGATTTTGCCAGTCAGCCACGAAAAGCGAAGTTAATATAAAGGATTTTTTATTAAAATTTGCAGTATGTTTTGTTTTAGTCTGACGCCAATGGGTTTAACATATCTTGTGCCACTAATAAAATCGATTTTTTTTTAAACACTGCGATGAATGCGTGTGGGCGTGGAGTCGATACCAAATTATTGTCCACAATGCAAGGAAAACTCTTACATAGGATATTTCCTCTTGACATTTTTGTATTATATAATTCAACAGCTTTAAAAAATTAAATAATTACCACTGACGCTTAACAGTGTGGACAAGAATTTAGAATTGAAAAGAAAAAAAAAGAGGAGATTGACTAGCTGATGATGTAGTGCATTCAGGGATCATGTGAGAGGAGATTAACTGGCTCATGCAGTCTATCCTGGCATCATGTTAGAGGAGATTCACTAGTTGATGTACCGGTAGTCAATATTAGCATACTTTTTTTGTTTAAGTAGAAGCATTATTTCTCAACAATACATATCACGTATATAACCTTTAATTGTGTATTTCAAGATGTAAAAACTAACGAAGAGTGCACTTTAGAGGTATAGTTAAATTTTTATAAATGTAATAGCGTTATTATAACGCCAGCTCCTCAAGGGGCGTTTACTCTTCTGGTCTCCAGGGGAAGATAATCAATATCAGCTCTTAATTCAACGGACACGGTTTTAAATATAAATATGT